GAACAGAATAGATAGTGCTTAGCTTTGGGCACTTCATTCTTGAATAAGAGTTGAAAAAGGGCAGTGTAAATTCACTGTACAGGAGTGAGCACCACAGACTCTGCAGAGATTTGGAAGGAATGGCTCTATTCCTAAATTATACAGAAGTTGTGATTTTCTGTTTCCTTTTTCAGTGCCATATTTAGATGCTAAAAATCAATCCTATCTGCAGTACACACAATCAGTTCAGCTCCCATTGACATCCACACAGCACGTAGGCATGCAAAATTTTGATGTTAATGTGATATACTTGCCTAATGACTCACAGATTTACAAATGAGGACTGACAATTTTCATGGAAAACATGAACAGAGCTAGCAAGAGTTAACAGTCTTAAAAAGCTAAAAACCTGATGTGCCCCTTTAATACTGCCTGTACTGGCACATCCTCAAAGAAATATAGCTGGCAAGAATATCCATGTAATTGTGCATGTAATAGATATTGGCTAAGCCAGCAGTTCTCCCAAGGGCTTATGAGAAATTTTTTGCTTGAATTCTTAGTCATCAAGGATCTCCAGATCTACCAGAAATAATGCATGCCAAGTGGGGTAGCTGTACCTAGTTCTCTAACCAAGTCAAGGGCATTGGCCTTCTCCACAGTCTTGTGGAATTCCTTTAATGCATAGGCCTGACCCCAGATGCATTTATTGCCTTGCAAGGCAGTTGCAAAAGTGATAATTTAGTAAACTGGAAGGCACTTCAGCCCTACAAAAAAACAAACAAACAAACAAACAAACAAAAAAAAAAGAGCGCTTGAAGAAACCTAGAGCAGAAAAAGAATCCAACATAAGAAGCTGTTGCAGTGCCTTTTTAATACATGATTTTATGTGAGCCAACAGTGATTTTCTTTCAGACTTTTTTCTGATTTGGTGGCTATTTATGGTTCTTATTTCAATAGGTGCATTTCAGACAAATAAGAGAGTTCACAGGAACTTTGATGTGCAATAAATTACTTTTCAAATATGACAGCTTGCTGCCTACATTCACTATTGCTTCTCAAAAACCTTAATTTTGCTGAATGTCAGGTCAGACTTTTTGGAAATACAAAACAAAAGCACTGCTCAGATAATCTTCATCCCCACTTATGGCTGACTGTGGGAAGTTTTAGGTCAGGACTCCTGTGATTTCAGCTACAGTACTGCTGTCTCTAAACACTTCAGAATTATATTTTTTTCTCAGGTAGGTCCTTGACACCAAAAGCATCAGAGACAGATGACTAATGAATGCACAGAGAGACCTGTTTGTTAAAATCTGTGCAAAATTGAGGTCAAACATTGCAAAGTTAATGCAGTCTAGTTTTACCCCTCATTGTGCATCCTGTATGCCAAATATTCCAAAATGGTAGGGGTAGATGGTACTTTTTTAGTTAACAAAGGAAGTCATCAAGGACCAAAATGCATATCCTTGACATTTTAACTAGTTACCTGTAGGTGCTGTGCTGGTGGAGGATGAGGTGAGGCTAGTTATCCCTGATAATACCAGGCCACAAGGCATGGGCAATCCGCTCCATGTGCTGGCTCCACCTTTTCTCTCCCTTGGGTCAGTATGTCTGAAGTATGAGGGGCTTTGGTACACTGAAGTGTGGCCAAGGGTTCTTTGAACTCTTCAGAGAGATGCTACTCTCCCACTTCTCATCTTTCCATGTTGCTCCTGAAAATGTGAAGTTTCTCAGTTGGCTGGAGTTGGCTCAGGGTGCTATGTTTTCCTCTTGGTAGAATTTCAGTTTCAGCCAGAGCTGATTCAGGGTATCTACAGCTGGCCCAATGTATTTATTGCCTTTGGTTTTAAGGCAGACTTTCTGAACATCTGTAAAGCTTTCACTTTTTCTGTTAAATCATCATGTTCTTTCTGTACTCCCTCTAGCTCCACTTTGGAGCTAAAATAATTGAGCAAATCAGCTCAACACTCCTGTTCTCTTCCAACTGTTTAAGCTCCTTTCCAAAATCCATCTAATTTTCCAACAAAGTCTTTGAACTTAAGTGCTTATTTGAGAAATCATGTCTACCTTTTAAAATTATTTTTTTAAATTTTTTTTTTAATTGTTCTTATTTGTAGTTGCAGGGAATTTACAAAAGCATAGCTGGGAACTATTCTCTCAGCTGAAATAAATTTTCCACCCTCAAAAAAGTGCATTTAACCCATTATACACCAAGTGTGTCTAATGTCACGATGTGAACTTGCACTCTTTTCCATAAGAAAATCTCACACTTCTGATGATAATTAAGAATTTCTACAAGGGTTTATATTTCAGTTATCTAGTATTTACTAGTAAACAATAACACTGGGGTTGTTCCTGGGTTTAATTTTGTAGAATTGGGCAGAGGGGAAGGGGAGAAATGAGGCAATATGAACAACTACCTATTAATTTTCATCCTTGTCTTCCCTTTAACATGTCTCAAGTAGCAGACAGTTAACTGCTCCCCTAAACCTCACCACTCCCAAAGCAGAGGAGCAGTGATGGAGCAAGCTGTATTAGTAGCTGTGGGTGAAGAGACTTGTAGCTTGGCAGCCCTGTGCAAAGCTAAAATCCTTGGCTTGTCTCCAACAACAGACGTTTGCCCCTTCAAGCAATGCTGAAACGATTCTATTCTCCTGTGAGAGAAAATGCCTTAGACAGGTAGAGCTGACTCAGATTTTCCATGGAGCATTGCTAGCCTGCTTTCTTTAAAATCTGGAGATGGGGGATATAAGGGGATGATTATAGAGAAAATACTTTGCATTAAGCAAGTCTAGGTCTGTGTGAATAGGTTGGCTAGAGGTTGGGGTTTTTTTCCCCAAAGGACTGTGGAAAGGTCTGTGCTTGCTCACATGAAAAGCTGTATTATCTCTCACTGCAAAAATGCACACTATGGTTTTCTTTCTACCAAATGACCTGCCAGGGCTCTCCCAAACCAAACCACATTGCAGAAACATTTAGCAGCTCTGACCCAGCCTAGCCAGCAGCTAAAGCCCTCCAGCAGTGTCAGGGAGCCCCAGGTCCCCTCAGTGGATGCTTTGATTCCAGCTCCTCCTAAGGAGGAGGGCAGAGCTGGGGCTGGAAACCCAGGGAGGAAGCAGCGTCCTGAGCTGTCCTGAGGCTCAGCTCAGGCTGTGTTGGAAAGGTGCCCTCCACTGCTGGTGCTGAGAGGACACGCTGAAGGAGCTCCTGACTGTTCATTAGCACCATCAAAGCTTTCTACCCAACTCTGAAGTGGCCCTACCCATTGTGAGCCCCAGCTGGGTTCTGTGTATCTGGTGTTTGTGCAGAGGTGCTGGCAGGCAGCCTCTGTGAGGAGAGGTCAGGGCTGTCCTGTGCTGGACATGACCAGTTCCAGCCCATTCCAGAGGGCTCTGACAGAGCCAGCACACCACACAGCTGAGCCCCGCAGCCAGGATGGTGACACCTCTGGGCAATACATTCAACAAAAAGGAAAACACATTGTGTATCAGCTGTGGCAGGGAGGACTGAAATAACAAGAGAGAGAAGCAGCCCCACGGACATTCAGATCGGTGCAGAAGAGGGGGCAGGAGGTGCTCCAGACTCCAGAGCAGAGGTTGCCCTGCAGCCCCTGGAGAAGCCCCAGGTGAGGCAGCTGTGCCCCTAGGGCAGCCCGTGGAGGACTGTGGTGGAGCAGAAACCCACACTGCTTGAGAACCCCACGCCAGAGCAAGTGGGTGAGGCCGAGAAGGGAGTTACAGCTTGTGGAGAGGCTGCCCTGGAACAGGGTCCTGGCAGGATCTGCAACCCCATGGAGAGAAGACCACTCTGGAGCAGTCTGTTCCTAATAGATTGGATCCTGCAGGAAAGATCCATGCCAGAGCAGTTCCTGAAGGACTGTCAACTGTCCTCATGCTGGAGCAGAGGAAGATCAGGAATAGGAAGGAGTGGCAGAGATGAAGCATTATAAACCAACCTCAACAGCCCCTGTGTCTGCTTTCCTGCACCACTCAGAGAGAGGAGTAGAGGAGCTGGGAGTGAAATTATGCCTGGAACAAGGAAGAGGTTGGGGGAAAGGTGGTTTCAACTATGTCTTTACTACTATCCTACTCTATTTTTAATTGCCAGTTAATTTAATTAACTTGTTGCAGCACAATTTTCCTTTCACATGGTGCAGTTGGTAATGTTGGCTTCTGCCTACTCGGCCCTCAGGAAGGTGCCCAAGTCAATTTTCTGCACCCTGAACGTCAGCTTAGTGGAGAGAATCCTCTTGGAGGCACTGAAGAGAATGGAGGTCAATATGATCAGCTGGCATGCGGACTCCAGCTGCTGTCACCAGTTTCTGGCAGCAGAGGGTGAGTGTTGCCACATCTGGTTCTCCTAGGAACCCATGCTTTACTGTGCATGCACAAGACCATTAAAGATGACAATCTGTGCAATAATGTGCAGCTTTCACTGACACAAAAACTAAATTCTTGCCTTGCCAGAAATGTTGGGCCCCTTGCTCTGCAGCAAATAATGAGAAGTGCAGAAGGGAGCAAGGTTTGAAGCTGACAGAAGGCAGTTGTCAAGCTAGAAGGAAAAGGATTATTCTTTACCAAGTAGCATCCACCATCTAGGAGAGGAAATGTATCAGCTCTATGTCTCTGTTTCCCTTGCCCTGGAAGGACTTCAAAGATGAAGGAGACTTCTGGGATTCACAGTGGAATGAGAGGGAGGGGAAGAAGAGTTCCCCAGCTGAAAAGGATAGACTTACGGTTTGTGAGGCGAGGACAGGAAATGGGAGACACAGGAAGTTTTTCAGCCAACAGCAGGAAATTGTATCTGCATACAAAAAAACCCTGACACCATGATAACTACACAGAAAATATATATATATGTATATATATATATATATATATATATATATATGTATATATATATGTATATGTGTGTGTATATGTGTATATGTGCATATAATATATGTACATATGTATATGAAGACCCCATGGCTGCCTACTTGGGCTGAGTAATTTTGTAAAAATGATAATATTTGTACTCAAATGTCTGTTTTGAAGTAAAGAAGAACTTATCAGCAGATTTTTTTATTTGTTAATTATACATCAGATCAGTTCTAGTCCTAATTTGCAAAGAAATTTCTGGGATGTGCACAAGGTCTCCTCTCTGCCCTGGAGAGTTTAAGTGCTCTGGGCTAGTCTTTCCTAGCAGTTGGGTTCACAATTTTCCCCAGGAAGAGCACGGCATCCGTGGTTTTATCAATAACCATCATCAGGAAGGGCCTGTTGAAGTTGATGAGAGGAGGAGGAGGAAAAGGTAGACCCACTGGTACTATTTCTATCACAGTCACTGCAGCAGCCTCTGTGCCATTCTCTCTAACATCCACCGTGGCCTTGTGAATAGCCTGCAAGGAAAGCAGAGATTATAATCAAGGACCTGAAGAGAGGGAAGCAGCTGGAAGAAGATTTGCTTGCTTTAACACTGTGAGACAATAATTCTTAAAAGAAAACACTGGATGAATGCAGAGCTGGTGTGGAAAAAAAAATACTAGTGTCCAAGACACTATCTTTCCAAGACAAGCAAGGTTTGCTCTGAGTTCAAAAACAGTTTTCTTCAAGAGTCAAATATGCCTGCTTGCAGAGACTGAGCAACACAGAAGGTATTTTTTTCTTAGAGTAATATTTTGTCCTTAACTGAACACAAAAGAAGAAATTTTTCATTTTGCATCAGTTTCTGTGTAAGCAAAATAATTCTCTCTGCAAAAACAATAGTGTCAGGCTTTATAGAGTGCCCTTCTGTAACACAGCCCATGGACAAGATTTTTCAAGGCTTTCTGTGGTAGGTATAGAAAATTTGTGTTTAGGAATTCACATGAGCTATTTCATTGGTTTTTGACAGCCCTCTGTTTTCTTCCTTCATTGTCTGCAACATATCTAAAATTTCCTTTCATGAGTCTCTGCTTACCCTTCACCAATTTACTTGGCTTTCCAGGCATCAGTCCCATATCTACAACCCAGGTGTTTCCACATAACATGGGGAAGAATGTGAGGAATCACAAATAATATATGATGGAAGGACCTCTAGAGGCCATTGAATGCCACCAACCCCCCTGCACTGTGTCACCTCTGACACCAGATGAGGTTAGTCAGGATATAATCCAGTCAGGATGTGAGTACAAGGATGAAAATTCCCTAAGTAACCCATATGAGTTTTTGATCACCTTCATGGTGAAATTTTTTACATAATACCCAATCTGAATATCCCATTTTTTATATTTTTTGTGTTTTCTCTTGATGTATCTCAGTTCATCTGCAAGAAGAGTCTGTGTTCCATCTTGTCTGCACCTTTCTAATAAATATCTGTAGCCAGGGCTAAGAACCCTGCCTTCACCCTCATTTCTGACTGGCTACTCTGGCTCTCCCAGCCCCTCCTCAAACATCCAGTGCTCAGCCATCCTGCCCACCCTCCACTGCACTCACTGCTCCGGGGTGCCCACATGTCCCTTGTACTCAGGAGCCCCAAACTGGATGTGTTGAACTCCAGAGGCAGTCTCACAAGTGAAGAATAGAGGGAAGGCTCACCTCCCTCATGACACAAGGCATACACTCCTCGGGACTCTAGAGAAATAATTTTATTTATCTGCATACTCATTTCTTGTTTGTGAAATGGGGCTATCCCTGTCCCATAACTCTGTTGTCCATATAAATTCTGAAGTGCTCAGACAATGTAAAAATGAAAGGTGCATACATAGTATAAGAATGATTATTCCCAGACTTATGTCATAACTATGATTCTTGTCATGCATTACTTCTTTAATACCAGCTTTTTGTGAAATTATTCCTGCTATGCTTTCTGGTTGTTTTCTTCTTCAGAGACTTTCAGCTAAGTTTGTAGGATCACTGTGTTGTTGATATTAAGACAATTTAGTATTAAACTTAGGAACAACAGCTATTTAATACCTAACCATTTCCTTCCTTTATTACCATCATTAAGCAATGACTACACTCTAAGGGTAGCATCAACCTATTTGTAGGATTCAAACTGCATAAAAACAAGGCAGAAAAATCTCTTGATTATCATCCTTGCTTGTATACTTACTTTGGAAACCTTCAGAAGAAGATTTTTTGCCACTCCAGAGAGATCAGCCTGATCACTGAACACCTCTGTCACACCCATTTTCTTAAACAGGCTCTTAACATCATAGGAGCCCGAGACAGAGAACTGTGGAAGACCCAAGTAGATGTTCCTTTTCAAAAAATAAATAAAAATGTGAGTTTGTTATTGCAAGATCCCTTGAAGCAGTATCTCTTGCAGTTATATATCCATCCCAAATACCCAAGGAGCTAAGGCTTGGCTTCCTAAGGCAGTGATAAATCTCATGTTAAAGAATCAGAAACCGAGGTATCTGTCCCACCAGCCACAGTCTGATCTGCGGTGCAGGGGTAGGGTGATGGTCTATGAAAATGACTGACTGGGAAATATTATCCAGACTGGAGAAAAAGAAATTGTATTTTCTCTTTAACTGGATTCCTCCTACTGAAGGCAGGTTCTGGAGGGCAATCTACCCATCTGCAGGATCCTCTCAACTGGGAGCTGTGACTGGGGGAGCTGAGAGGGTTCCCCTTTGGTATGAATTCACATGATACCTTGTCTGGGTTAAAGGAGCTCAGTAGCGCTTGTTCCTCAGAGCTGTACTTAGCAATTCATCATGGTATCCTAAGTTTTACCTTTCCTGGAAAAGTAGTTTTGGCCTGTTCAATATTTAAACAAAGCCCCAGTTAAAATATTACCTGTTTTCAAATGATCTCAACCATTTAGCCACTGTTTCTTTTAGCAGAGCATCTTCCACCTGTTTCATTGTCCCTTCATCAGGCAGAACAAAAAATGAAGTAACATTTCCTTTGTATGGGATTTCTACTACCCAACAAGACAACTTCTCATCCCTGTGCACATTAAAGTCCTCGTTTTGATGCATCATTTTGACCTTAACAGAATTCTCAGCATCCAAAAAGAAGTCATCATCTCTCGTGTTGAAACTCTTGAAAGGTCTTTCCCAGGAGCCTTTCAAAAAAGAATGAGTATAGAATTTTAAAAAAGGAATAATAAAGTCGTGCCACATTAATTGATGCTTAAAATAATATACTTGAACTGCAGAGAAAGCAACAAGCCTACGTCAGTTTAAGGATTCTTGATCCTTGGCCTTGGAAAGAAACCTCGTTTCAATGGTTTTAATAAAAATCACACAAGAAAAGTATAGTTTGAGGCTTGCAGTGGAAAAGAAATGAGCCTTTATTCAGATAATAATAAATCTTTCATAGACTCCAACTATACAAGGTTCAGGTTTGTTTCTTTCATGCAGGTGTCATCTGTGTTTGACCATGTCCTGCACAGCCAAACACACGTACCTTCCAACAAATGGTCATAAATTCTGAATGTCTTCAGCTCTGAACCTGGCTTAAAATTTATATTACTTCTGCTGATTCTTATATTTTTTCATTCTTTTTTAAATTTCTCATATAGAAAATGATTCTATCTTTCAAATATTTTCCTGTGTAATTTAAAAATAGAAATATGTATGTTAAATTAGATTATAGGATGAAAAAAAAGTGAAAAAGTTTTGTTTGTTAGAACTTCCAGATCTTATTTGCATAGCTGCTACTCATGTCTGTCACTCACCTCTAAAGAAAATGTAGTTAATGAGAACCATCACATTTTCTGGATCAAGACTCTTCACTAAGTCAACAAATTTGCCATGCGTTTTTGTTTCCACATAGTCATTGATTTTCCTTAGAGCCTCTGGAGGATTCTTGAAGTTGGTAGAAATAGCTTCAGCATAATAAAAATTTGAGACATGATCCAAAAAGTTTTGAAGCAATTCCACGTGGTTATCTATGAACAGGGCATTGCCCATGTTCAACTGGACTTCTCGGTGAGGGTCATTCAGCAGCTGGAGGATTCGCTGGAATCCTTCATGAATCTCCTGCTCCTCCAGCTGAGTCAGGTTGAAGGCAAGGCCTTTGTGCAGCTCTCTGAGCGTGTTTGATCTGGCCCCCAGGGTGAGCATTGAAAAGGCAGTGGAGATACTCAAAGGAGAGAAGAAAATGTTCCCATCGTCAGACTCATCTCTGATCTGCCTGTAAAGCTTAAATGCAAAGTCAGCGTTGCTGGGGGCTAGCTTGACATGAGGCAAGTTTTCAACATCAGCCTGGGACTGGTCTTCTGGGGAATGGTGTGCTTGTTGTTCCTGCTGTTGACCCTGGCCTTGAAGTCCAAAAAGCAGCAAACACAAATACAGTGCAGACTTCATTGTCCTGAATAGTCCTGTTAAGAAAGAACAGAGCAACTTTTAGGTCTAGAGAAGTTTTTATTTAATGAATAAAAAGATTTTTTATTCTAGATACTGATTTTCAGATGTCAGTCATTAAAACTACTATTTTTTTGGAAATACTCTTCTACTTGGCCTCTGGACAGTCTATTTCTAGTCAGTTGACCAAGGAGCAAAGGAAATAAGACAATAATGTGGTATTTCCAGGGAAGAATCAGCTTTCCTGAGGTATTATGTGTGAAATAGTCCTTACTTCTGACCAGCAGAAGTACTGGTGGTGAGCAGAACCACTCAGTGCATTCCTAAGTACCTTGGGGTACCTGGCTGAGTTCATGTATTGGCACCCATCTATCTGGTAAGTATTTTGGCAGAGTGACCAACTTTTGCTGATACGTTTCTGTGGTACCCACGGTCTTGTTATGACTTTGGTTTTCAGGCACTGCAGATAGTCAGTTATAGCAGTATAAAAAATCCACCAAAATGCTCAGCCTTTAAACTGCTAATATATTTCTGACTCTTATATAACAGCTCTGACTCAAGACCTATATTATTTCAATATTTTACCTTAAGTGTTCAAGCAAATTGAGGCTAAATCAAGAAAGTTTATTGACACAATGTGCTCTATATTGCACATAAGCTATACATAATGTCGCAAAGCTCAAGACTCAAGAGCTTAGGAAAAGCTACAGTGGCATCTGCCTTGCTGTGTGTATGAAACTTGATGACCCTTCCCTTTGCTTCAACTGACAGAAGCTAAATCATCATAACCCCACAGTATCTCTTCCATCCTTTTGGTGGAATAATCCTGTGACATATTGGAGAAGAATGCTCTCCATATAGGGCCTCACCTAAATTATCTCAAATGACAGAAATTCAAACCCATGAAGCAAGCAGTGGCCCTCAGGGAAACAGGGACGGTCTGAATTCTGTTCATAGCAGCTGCATACTTATTCTGAAGAGTGAGATTCTGCCCAGAATCTGCCTCAGACTGTGTGTCTAAAGCCAGGTCCAGGTCTTGCACCAGACTTACTATGGGGAGTTGCTGTTTCCAAATGGACTTTTCTAAATGTCCATTATGAAAAACTGGAGATAAAAGCTGTTGAAGTGCTGAGTATGGGAGCTATGCTCAGCATGTCTAAAATGCTGGGTGTAAACACTGACTCAGGAAAAAAAAGGCATTCAAACTCTTGATAATTCATTTTTGTTCTGGTAATAACTCGTTTCATAATTCCCCAAATCTGCCTTTGGGAGAGACTGATTTCTCTTCCTGGCTACTTGCAAGTAGCCTGGTCTTTAATCATACTAGACAGAAATGAAGCTGCTCTCATTGATCCTGCATCAGCCTGGAATAGTTGGGACATTGAGATTTCAACTAAATTTATTCCTCTGGGAGCAGAGACAAGGGTTTTTTCCTTATCTTGGTATTGATTGTTGGGTATTCATTTTGGACCTCATAACCCTGTCATCCTGTCACTGTAGCTAGGATCTGGATTACTGAATGAATTCTCCTTCAAACATTCAGAACATGCTTCCAGAAGCTAAAATAATTTCCAATTACTGTACAAAACAAGTTAATCTTACCAGTAAATAGTAGGGATCACACACAGCACACAATCAAAGACTTCTAAGAAAGTATAATGTGGTACTTACTGTGCCGGACTTTTCTTTCACAATGCTTCTCCCCTCTTATTCATTTGCTTCCTAGTATTATTAGCATCCACTGGTAAAGATTAAACAGGGCAAATAAGAGTTATTTGCAAAGCAAAGATTGAATAAACTCTTTCTTTCCTGGATATCAAATATTTAAAGTATTTTTCCCATCACACAGCCAGAACAATGCCAGCCCCTAGCCAGCTCTAAAGGGAAAGAAAGACCAGGGACTTGGCTGCTCTTGGCTCAAACTAAACTGTAAGTAAAAGAGTTTTACCAATAACTGTGGTAAATGAGTTCCTGAAAACACAACATGAGAAGAACATGCAAAAGCAGAGAAAAGGCCAAAACCACAGATGCCCTGTCCCATTGAACTTTCTGCACAGGATACCCTGATGCACCAATGCCATCTAATTGAGTACCCAAGGCAGTAGCAGTTTGTTCAGGTACAGCTCCACCCTGCCCTAAATGGCATTATTTGATGGGCTCTGAACACTGGTTAGCTTTTTGAGGGACCTTTGATGAGTATTTTAGAAACTACTAAAGTGAAAAGCAAGGCATAGCATGGCTTAAAAAATAATTACAATAAGAAAACAAATAGAAGAATGAAATAGGCAAGCTTTTCCACAGCAAAATGTCAACTGGGGAGAAAAGAGATCTTAACCCCTTGTGTTATCTATGCATAGGATAAGCATGAATTACATACATATCATACGTATCCTACACTGGGATCCCTCTCAGAGGAAGCTGAAACAGGCACAATTTAGCTATTTAGAAGGTTATTTAAGGATGAGGTGCATGGCACTTATCCTAATTAGCAATGACTAATTATTTCCATTGAATGTACATGATTTTGCCCCAGGTAAACTTTCAATTTATCTACACATAGGAATCAACCGTCATTGTTATTGCTATGTAACTCCTCTCTCTTACAAGACAGAGGCATGGTTTGTCAGAATACAGAATACAGAGAGGAGTTTTTTTCATGGTATGTGCAAGTACCCAGAAAATTTATTGCAGTATTATGTAAAATGACCAAGTTTCAGGAATAGCAAGTGTGCTGTTGCTTAACTCTAGCAAAGACAAGATAATTTTCTCAAGCCTAGGCCTGCCTACATAGATAGCATTAATCTTTCAGCCCAGTCCTAATGCTTGGCTAACCATCTGAAGGATGAAATTTCTTGAGAGGAATTTCTGGGAACATCAAAGCTGCTGCAGTGATTCCTCTCTCCCAGGAGATGCAGCAGAGCTCAGCATGTCAGGGAGAGCATGGAAAGTTGTTTCTGTCCCCACTCACAGTTCCCAGGCACCAGATCCTCTGACCCTGGCCCAAGTGTCTTCCTAGACAAGGTTTAGACCAGCAGTTACAGCAAACCCACAAATGATCATTTTCAAAGAATCAGCTTCCCAGAAATTCCAGACTGATCAGCATGGTTAATGAATCTGTCAGTCACACCCAGTCCTTTGAAAATTTACTTTAGGTCATAGGGGCCAGAACTAGAGACTCTTGGATAATATATGTTGCTTCTGTTGAAGGCAAAGGAAGATGAGGGTGAATCACCACACATAGGCATCACCTCCATGTCAGCCAGGCAGCAGGTCTGTGAAAACACAGGGAGAGGAAAGCAGTTCACTGCACATTCCTGTTAGAAATGTCTGTGTCCCCAGAACACAGGGAAATACAAGGCAAAACCAGAAATTTTGTGTGGTTTTGCAGAAGGAGAGCCATCCAGGGGAATTGCACAGAAGACAGTGTGGAGTTCCTGGATGCTTTGAGATAAGTGGTGGCTGGGACAGGGGGATTCTTGCTCCAGGAACCAGGGGAGTCATATAAAGGACTGACAAACAGGCTCTTCCCATTGGCCTGATAATGAGCTATATGGAAGGAATTAACAAATAATTTCATAATCTTTCTCCCTACTCTCTGCCAGTTATGCAATGTGCCTTGGTTCCTCCTTACAGGAGCAGTTTCATCCCATATCATTAACTTATTTCTGTTGCTGCTTGGTCATGAGATTATCATATTTCAGTTGCTGCTTGGTCATCTGATTATTATATGCTGGCTTTGCAAGTTATATTTCAGGGATTTCCATGGCAAATGATTTCTGACTGCAAAAACAAAAGATCAGCAAGATAAATGTGTACACCGCCTGATAAATCCTCGTGCAGCCATTTCTTGTTTCCCTAGAAAGATGTATCATTCAAAGTATGTCTACAAAAGTTCATCTAAATTGACTTCTTGACATATGTAACTTAATTAAAATCAGGAAATTGGTATCATTGCAAAACTGGTGTAAGTAGAATAAAAATCAGGTTCTTTCAGTAATTTTAGCTTTTTCTGTAGAGGGCTTCCCAAATATACTCTCAAAGTCTTACATATATTTCATCCTTTTCCCCTTGAATAATGAAAGTGCTTTAGGCTCCCATTTCAAAAACAAGCATGACTAAAAGAAAGAAAAAAAAAGCTGAAGGCTAAAGCAAAAATTTGTGACAGAACTGGGAAGAGAAACTAGACCTTTCCTACTTTGTTTTCAGCTTCTTTCTCCAATGCAATAGGAATCTTTGAACTGAATTTTCATATAAACTCACAGTCTGCTAGAAGAAAGCTGTATAAGCAGAATCAAATCTGCTTTTTTCCTTCTGTGTTATATCTCAGAAAAAAATAAAGACCTTTTATTATCAGGTGTGATTCCTTTTCTCACAACAAACATTTTACCTTGGATGATTATTTCATCAGTGTTCAGAAAACAGTATTTTACATTTTCTACTTTTTCTGTATTGAATCTTCTAACATTGAATGAAAAAGTGTTTCCATCAGCATACAAGCATTTAAGGCCTGATGTGAATTCCATTTGAGTCAATCAGACAGCATTGTAATGTTCAATATGAATAATCTGTTACTGACAGCTCGGATTTTCCTGATATATTTTCCATTAAGTTCCCAGCTGAAGACATACCTGACACAACCAAAGATTTCAAAACTAGTTGTTAGAAGTTTTATAAAAAAAAAATCAAATAAAACACTGGTGAAAATAAGTAACAGTAGGTAGAATTCAAGATCAAAATTTTGCTCTCAAAATCTATCTTAGCTTGAATTTCTTTTTTCAAAAGATACATCAAACTCAAGTGGTTAAGACTACAGACCAAAAGCCTGAATTAATAACAATGGTACAAGAACTTAGAGATGGCATGTGTAACTCCCAGAATTAAAAAAAATGACAGAAAATGAAAATTGTTGTGCCCTCCTAAGTGCCAGTGAGGTTAAAGAACATCCCTTCCAGCACCTGAGCCTGACTGGTGACACTGAAGACCAGGGAGAGCAGAGGAAAAGCAGCCGAGAAGCTGACCAGGGAGAGGAAAACACTCTTGTCAGGTTCTTGGGCAGTCAGTTGCCTGTAAAACTGTAGGGAAGAGTGCATGTTTCTGAGGACTATCCATTGGCAACATCTGAAGGGATCTCCCTTGTGGGCCTGCTGTTCCTTGCTGTGCTTGTGGCCACTGAGCTGTTGACACTTAAGGACAACAGACTCACGTGCAGCAAAACGAGCATTTCATGCAGTCGTGGATAAAGTAAAATTGCAAGCAGATTTCATATCTGGGTACCATGACAAAAACAACTCCTAAATTCATCCATCTGGCCCTTTGAGAACTTTAATAATTATTACTTTATCAGGTTATATTCATCATTCTGATTTGTCAGTAAAATAACTTCTAAAAATTTTTAGCAATCAAAAAATATGAGTTTCCCTTTGGTCTGGCACTGTCTTTGAGAATGAATTGATCACCTAAGATTTGGTTATATCTCTCTGGCTCGGCACTAATTTGGCAGTGGTGTTACTGCAGTCATGCTCTGCTTTAGCATCACTGCCAGGTCTGAGGAGTGGGGAGTTATGTTCTTTATCACCTCCGTCTCTGCCTGCTCTCTCTGCCTGCCTCTGCACAGTTCTTGGAAGGATAGCTGCATGGTGTTGGCCTTGGGTGCTGAGCCTTTCTCAGCAAGGGGTTCACCTGCCAAAGGAGGCTCTCCAATGGCCTTTTTCTGCCAGCTGATTCCAGCTTGCAGTGTCAGGCCACACTTTGCAGCGTCAGGCCACACTTAGCAAGCAGCTGGATCCTTGAACTAGCGACAGATTTTCTGAATCATAATAAAAATCTTGGTTTCAATATTTTTTAGGGAAGAAAGGGGAAATAGATGATGGACAATGCTTATGCTTCCACAGTAAGTTGTATCACATTTTAAATTGCATTTGAGTTCATTCATGTTACAACATAATGGAATTAAACTTTCATATTTTATGCTTCATGGTAGTTTCTATGTGCTCAGCTTTGAAGTGTGTCTGGTATCATCTAAGGAATTGCATAATTCCTTAATGCAGAACAGCCTTTTGAACATAAGCACTTACATTTACTGTGAAAATGAGCATACACAATTTCAGCAAATGCACAGGACTGATCAGGAGAGACCACCCAAACACATCTGTGCTAAGTACACAGGGGTCTCGCAGTCTGTGACTTGAAGTAATATTGAAGGGTGTTTATTGAACTGCCTTGTCTTATTCCACATCAGGGTCTCCAGTTCCCTCATTTCTGAGAAGTAGTTGTGAAGGCCTATCAGCATCACCTGGAATTGAGTGTTATTCAAAAAAAATGCAGATTGCCAGCAGAGTGGGAGCTCATAGAGCTGTGTGATGACTTTCCCATGCCTCTGCTGCTCACTGGCTCCATTTGTCCCAGTACACAGAGCAGTTCTGGGGAACAGACCTGACCATCAGACACTTACATTCTTATACTTTTAGTACAGTTTCAGACACATGCCACCATATGATTCTTCCAAACAAGTGCTAGGCCTGACTTTGGAGTTCGCACAGGCCAAGAGGCATTTCCAGTAAGTTGATGGGATGACTTGTGGGGTTGGAGTTAAGCAATGTGGGTATGACCTGTGATGAGCCAGTTGACCTCCTGGTTAGAGAACAGATCTTAGAGCACTTTATTTACATGCATAGATCTATACTCTGGAGATAGGATTAATCTCAATATTTGTTTTTCCACTTCCAGGCATTCATATCCTGT